GTGCTGCAGCCACTCGCTGCGCTCGGGGGCGACGATTCGGGGCGGCGCGGGGGGGAGAGATTCCCCCAGGGACGATGGCGAGCGGGTCACAGCTGGTTCTGACGGCAAAAGTACAAAGACCAGAAAAAAAAACAACTTTTTTTTCCTAGTTAGCGACGTTTTCAGGATCCACAGTGTGGCCGCAGGCACGGCAGAGGCACTTTTTTCTTCGAAAACACTCGTCTAGTAACACATAAATTGTTCTTCCTTGATAAGGCTCAAATAAAGGTTCTTACTCTGAGGTGAGGTGACACAAAGCCAGACGGGATCGGGCAGTGTCCGTCAGGGCCCGCGTTGGCTTAAAACAGACTTTGAAAGTTTTACTGCAGTATTTTAAAAAAGGGACCATCTCTTTCACCACTACCCAGGAATTCTCACTTTTCAGCACTAAAGAGCAGTCCCTTGAGACATAATGCTGAAAACGAAAACATTTTGCAGTGTATTGTTCTCACCACCAATAATTATTTTTTCGCTTTTACCTGCACATGTACAGGGGAGAAGGGAAAGCACGACTTTCTTCTTTTTTTCTTTCTTCGGGCACATGATCTGGACAGGTTGATGAGACTGAGAAAAGCTGAACTAAACACAGCAGCTAAAACACCCTGCCTCGGGTGGTGGCTCCTCACAGAGACGGTGGAGGAGCCAAAGAGAAAGATTCTTCTCTTAAAGATTAAGAGAAGAAATCTACACTGATATCCTGCACTAGATAACATCAGAAATGCATTTGAGAGCATTGGCTGCCCAGAGTCTTCTCCATGGGTGTGTTATGTTTGTCCTGGGCATGAATGTGCGTTTGCAACAAACCATGTTCATAGCCCTGCTGTTTTTTTCCTGATTTCTCAAGGACACTTACTACAGGAAGCCAGAAATATTTCCAGAACTTTTTTTCTTACACATTCTAGGAATAAAATTCTTCTTTTTCAGCATTTCTAACACAGAGGTAAAATGTGACTGAAAGTTATGCGTCTCTCAGTTCAAATAAAAAAGAAAGGATAAATAATAACTAATAATAAAATAAAACTTCAGATCATAAAATTCAGCTCTCACAACACAATTCCCACACTTAGTAAAATGTAATTGCCATTGATTAGGAAAGAATGACGTCTATACCCTGAGGAGGCTGGGGAGAGATGCCCAGTGCTGAGAGTATTCGAGCTGGGTTTAGGAGAAAGTTCAGGATCAGCTGCTACACTGGCTTCATGCGAACTCCGGCAGCTCACTACCCCACCATTTCACAGCACATTTTCTGTCAGAGCTGGTCCTCACCTCACCTCTGTATGTGCCCCACTGTGCTACACCACTCTAAAGGCATGTAACCCCTCAGAGGGGTACCTAAAACACCTCCTGCCTGCCAAACCTGTCTCAGCCTTCCTCTCCTGGGTGCGCACACCTCTTCCTCCTTGTAGCTCCACGCAAGCAGCTATCTGCCTTTGGTGGAGCTTTGACCGTTTCAAACACCACACGAGCTAGTGCTTTTCCAAACTATTCATTCACCTCAGCTGAGTAAACAGTCACGACTAAGGCAGACTGTTTATTCTCCACCTGACAAGCTGGGGAGATGGTTTAAATTCTTTTCTCTTGCAGAATGGATCTGCTGGAGAATACTTGCAGGGGGCTGAGCTGCCTGAACCGGCTCCCTGGGGCAAGGGTAGATGTCTCTGCAAAATGCTATGTTTTTTGCGTGGCATGCTTTGGCACTGAAAAGGGACTGTCCAGCTTCCGAGTTTAATCACAGTGTCCCATGCTGAACTTGCTTAGGTACATGGGTTTGCTGGGGTTTTGTTCCTGTTTCCAAGAAAAAGACTGTGGGAATATAGTATAGCAAATTGCATGTTGGCATATTTCTCCTTCCATAGAAACACAATTCATATGTACATCTGTCTATTTGCACAGCGATAGTCTAGTGTAAACCAGAATCCATCTCCATTTCCACATCAGAGGAACTGAGTATGGTGCACCTCTGGAAAAGCACTCTGTGCACTCAGTAGAAAAGGCAGGTGAAAAGAGGGGATTATCAGCCAAGAAATCTGCACATTTCCTTATGATGGCTAGTATAAATAAAGATTGTGAACTAGGATTTAAATAGATGGTTTTCACATCAGCTTATCTCTATATTCCAAGTACCAGTTGAAAAATGCGTGATTGTCAAGCTGTAATAGAGGCATTGCAAGCAATTCAATTATTTAGCAAAGGAAGGAGAAAAATGAATTACTAGAATGAAGCACTAATGGAAATTTTAAGTATTAATAAATAAATATTTAACATCAAAGTTGGTTAGTGTTTGATAGTAAACAATCCTACAATCAGAGTACTAGAAAGCAAAGTAATTTCACTTATTTAGTCCTAAAGCTACAATTAAAAGTCTTTCAAAACTGCATGAACAAATTCTGATGTTTTATTTCTGGTTTAGATTACAGACTTGAAAGAAATTGCAGCTGTGACAAATTTAAAATGGATATACTGAGTAGGAATGAAAGTAGATGCACACGGCAAAGTGCAACGCTACATTGTTTAATTAAACATACATCTCGTTTCAGGATATGTGAATTTTTGTGAATAATTCTCTCTAGTCTGCTGCAGCTCTTAGGTTTCCCAGCCCATGGCGTCTGTCCTGTTGCACTGACATATGCTGTGCTGCGAGCCAAGCAATGGTTTGCACGGGTGAGAATTTTCCAGGTTTTATTTTGCATCCAGCTTCTTTCAAACACCCAACATGCACATGAATATATTGGGAAAGTCACAAAATATTAGAGTCTCCATTCACACCGCTGGTGTTTAAATCCAACATCTCCAAAACTCCCGGGCAACCATTGCCTATTTCAGAAGATGCCTCACATTCAGAAGTATGTTCAGGAGCAAAGCTCCCTCGATTCCACAAATGGAAGCAAGAGCAGTGGCTTTCAGGGGAAGTTGTTACAAAATGAATGGAATAATAAAACATTCCTTAAGCCAAAGGAAAAGAGAGAATGACTTGGCATCCCACCGAGATGATGTGGCATTGCCTATGTGGTTTCTTCAGACTACTGTAATGACATTGTCTGGCCGCCTCTCAGACCCCCTTTTCACGATTTGTTTAACCCTTTGGCCCATTTCAAGCAAACTCTGCGGGAAAGCAGAGCTCTTCAAGAAAATAAAGTTACTACACATTTAGTGTGGACAGGGGCAAGAAAAGACTGAAACATTTGCCCTTTGCAAGGCAAACGATGCTGTGCGAGCGTGGCAGCTGGGCCGTCAGCACATGCCAACCCGGGCAGCTTGGGCAGGACAGACGTAGTGTGAGGGTAGGGCAAATGCTGCCGCTTGACCGACTCCTGCTCTGGGGATGTGGGGAGAGATGAGGGTGGTGTGTGGGGAAACAGAGAGCATTGCAATTTGGCTATCCCAGGGAGCACATAGAGATGAGCTGGAGTTACTGTGGTCGGAGTGGGCATAGGAAAGGGCAACACTCACTAGGAAACCCAGATTCCTTCATTGTGCTGCTCAGCAGTTGACTTGCTTAATGCAATAGTTGGATTTTCAGTGCGCAGGTGATGAGCCAGATGTTTTATGACCACAGTCATTGACTCTACTGGAAGATCTGGAGCACAGCCTCAGTAGATTGGAGAGCAGACGTTAGTTTTGGGCAGTCCCTCATCACATTTGACCTGTCTGGTATAACAGGCGATGGTAAATTCGAAAAGATGGTAACAGGTATTTTAAGACACTTTACTAAGCTGAGGACTGCAGTGCTTTGAGAAAGGGCACTAGTGCATAGTGCAAACTCTGGCTCTTTTTTGAGGCCATATTCCTTATTGTGCGACAAGTGAACTTGACAAGCAAGGGTTTGGAGCGCCTGCCTTGGCAGCTGGGAGCCCACACCCAGGTTAAACACACAACCCCTCGACAATAGTTTTGACACAGAAACAAAACCTGGAAAAACAAAGAGCACTCTGCTGCCAGGGAAGGAGACTTTTGATGAACTGCCTATGGGGAACCCAGGATGGCTCAAACCCAGATCCCACCATGGAGGCATCACAGGGATCCAAATGTGATCACATCTTGCAGACTATAGCATCGGGATGAAATGCAGACTAGCTATTTCTCTGGATGTTGGATGAGAGACTGAAGTCCAGGGAGCATTTAGAATCCTCTTTGGAAGGTATGGGAAGACAAGATCCCATTTGCCCTTCCTCTGGTGCTTACCCCTGACTCGAGGTTGTCTTCGGCTCTGGCAGCTGTGCTGGCAGGCTGGGTGGGAGGTGCAGGTAGCCAGCTCTCCTGCGGCAGGCTCTGCCAGCCTCCTGATTTCTGGCTCCTTGGGATGTGTGTTTGCTGCGGGAGGCATGTGCAGAGCTGTCGGGAGCAGAAGCAGCGCAGGCAGCCTGCATCACGTTTCTCCAACCCTGTTTCTCAGCAGGGCTCTTATTCCAGGGCTGTATTTCCCCTTGATTGATTACCTCTGCCATTGTGGCGCTGAAATTTTACACGGGATTCCTGCTTGGTCCCTTATCATGGGAGCGTGAGGAATGATCATTCCCCAGCGACACCCGTCGATAACAATGAATAATAGCCGGGAAGGGAGGCAGACGATAGTAGGAACATGCTCAACAGAAGTGCCGTTATTCTTGGGACAGGAGGCTTCTGCGGAGGAGGAGGAGAGCTTAGAGGGTGGACAGGAGGGTCCCGTCATTCCTGATGGTCTCTAAGGCTCAGCGGCTGGAGAGAAACATTGGCTAAGGATGGTCAAAGCTGGGAAGGAAAAAAAGAGAGGAGGGAAAGGGATGAAGTAAAAGGAGCTAAGAGCCACGCTGGAGAGCACACAGACAGCCTGGTGACCTCTGGTGCGTAAGGGATGAAGGAAACAGACTGTGATTGACTATGTGGACCATCTGGGTGATCGTCTTCTGGATTTCAACCGTCCCGGTAGGTGTTCAGTGCTATTTATTCCCAATTTCATGGAATCAACATGTTCTCTGACGAAGTGCACCTCTATTCCATGAAGTAGTGGTGCCTTTGTTTGAAAAGGTCAGTGTAGAAGCTGGGATTTTTATGTTTTATTCTTACTTCTGCTGCTTCCTGCACTAATTGACAGTGGCCAGATAGCTAGATGCTGGATGCCTCAGTTTCCCCACCTATGTAAAGACAGCAGCGTACCTCAGTTTCCCCATATTTATAAAGACATCAGTGTTACTAACCTGTTTGGTGCACATAGCAGGTTTTTTGATGCAGGAGAAAAGACTTGATGCCATTTAGAGAAGCTTTGCTGATTTATACCAGCGAGCAATCCCCTAAGGGGGAATGCCCACCACTACCAAAGCCTCCCTTGACTCAAATTGAAGGCAAAAGTGATGTTTGATCCACAAAGTTTGGTTTCTTTCTTTTAGCTTCATCACTTTACTGGGAATTTACGTGGCAGATTGTCACTGCTGAGCTCCAGGCACTCAGACCAGTCGGGAAGGAGAGCTGAACCTGGGCTGTGATCTCCAGGTGCTGCTCAGCTTATTCAGATTTTGAAAGCATATCAAACCAAGACTGACGTATGTCCAGCTTGAGTGGGAGACGTTGGGAAAGGATCAAACTCTCGGCAAATGTTAAAAATCACTGTTTGATTACAGCTAATGGAAAAATCAATCTATTTGTCCCAGCAGGGAAATTTGGTTCAAACTCTGAGAAAATCTGAGCTTTGCCTAGACATTTTAATTGCAGAATGAATGCGATCTGCAAACTTTTTTGCCTTTTGATCATCTTCCAAAATAAAAATAGTGACTGTGATGTTTTTCTCATCATTTTGGTTTCTTATTCTTAGGTACTACCTTAAGGACTCTGTAAATAGATGTCATTGCTCAAGGCACTACCGAGAGCATCTCCTTCCACTTGTTCTTTTTCTAATCCTTCAAAATACCTATTTTTATTTTGCCAGGCATCTTTTGTTCTTCTTTAAATCCTCTCATTAAACTAAACCCACTTACTTTCAAATTAAATGGCTGTGAATTCCATGGCTGTAAATATTATTTGTATTAAATAGTGTTTAGATCTATTTATAGGTTAAAAACTGTAGTTGGCTGTTGCTATCAATATCATGAACTGCAGCTTTCTGCCTGTTCTGGGCATCTAGTTATCACAGCTATTTCGATTTGGAATGGTTTTGGTATCATATATTGTCTTCAAACAAAATATGAGGATGTCTTGCCCCCTCACCAAATCTGACAGCCTGTGAGCTGGGAGCTGTTTCAGTGAACTGCTGAGGAAGAGATGAAGAAAACATATGTAGAGGAGCCCATTTTCCTCCTGGATTTCAAGGTGCAGGGGCAGGCTGTTCGTTCCCAGTTGCAGACAGCAGCCCAACCAGTAGTGGAGTGGGGCTGTCCGGCTGTGAGATGGGAAGCGAGATTTCAAGTCACTCAGCAAACAGCTGGGCTGAGCCTGCGCCCAGCCTGCCCCGTCGGATGCCAGCGTTGACAAAGACCGACCGAGGGACAGCGCTTGTGGAAAATGAGGTCTTTAAACCAGTACCTGGAGGCTCTCTGCTTTCTCTGGGTTTAAAATCCTGTTACCTGCACATCTGTTGCCAGGCAGTGGTATCTATCTGAGCAGAAGAATAGGGTGGACATCGCTTGGCAGGGTGAAACAGTAATTATAAGGCATTAACTACACCATATTCCTGCTTGAGCAACATATTTTATGTAAGCAAATAGTGCTGTATCAGATCATCAGGGGCTTCACAGCTGAATGTGCTAAAAGTGGGTGGCCTCATTCGAGCTGTAAAGAAATAACAGGCTTTAAATCTCTTTCTAGAACAAAAGCTTTCTTAGGACCTACATTTCTTAAAAGAAAACGGTGCCCACAAGATGTGTAGGCTTATTTAAGATGAAGAACTTTCCTGTTTCTGGGCTAGTTACTAACGTGATTGCTAGCGTTTATTTTTACCTTATGTTCAGTATCATCTGGAACAATCTGCACACAAACCAGCCTGGTTCTATTGGCCACTTCAAATGCCTGGCACTAATATTGCTTTTTAACATATTTTCAAGGCAATTTTTGGACAGAGATACAACAGCAGAAGTATGTTTTAGGTCTTAACTGTCACATTTGTACTTGTGAACTCTGAAAATGTACCAAATTGCTTTACTACTGGTAATCGAATAGATAACAATAGAGAGTGATAAATAATGCACGTTTTAAAAATCTGTCAATATTTAGAAATTATCAAATTCAGCCTTCAGCTGACAATAGAAACTACTAAATGCAATTACATTTCTTTAGACATGATACTCCAGGCAGACATTTCTATTTTTTTCAAAGATTAAATGGATTTTTTTTTTTCAAATATTACATGGATTAAAAATACATTTAAATCCTGGCATCAGAGGATAGTTTATTTCACCTGAATTCTTTGCATATGTGATTCCAGAAAATTAACCGCATTATGAAAAATCAAATTATTTTTAGTTCATTTATTTCATGACGCACAAAGACAGGGGAGAAATATGATGAAGTTAAACACAACAGGCCAATTAGATGAGGCATAATACACTGCTGAAAAGTTCAAACTTTGTTCAGAAATAAAATACCCAGAATACTTCCAGCCGAAATGAGTGGGAATATAGTTGCTGATGTCTGTCAGGCTAAAATTTAGTTGTAGAAAAGTAATAGTTCTCATTACAAGGTTTTCAGTAATCATTCTCTCTCCTAAATCTAATCTGAAAGTGATGAGCAATGCTACAAGACAGATTAGGTTGAGTAGTAATAAGATGCTGCCAGGTTAACTTTTCCTGCACAAAGTACATAAAAAAAAAAATCTTTCTGATACTTTTCAAATAATCCTGATGACTTGCTTTTAATCTTTTAAGTACATATGTGTATATCCATATGCATATATATATATGCACATGAAAGTTCCACAGCGGGAATTGATAAAAAATTTTGTTTTGTTCACGAGGGAGGAATTATCTAATTTTTTTTTTAATAGATCACCTATCTTCAGTGATTTTGTTGTCAAAAATAATAGAAACTGGTAAAGTAATAGAAATGGTAAAAGTACTTTTTTACTGCAAGACAGAACAACTGGGACTTTGTCCTGCAAATCATTTTGCAATGATTTTTAATACATGTCATTTAATGGTTGGTAACTGTTTTGTACATTCATTTTGCTCCAGCTACATATAACATAAACTGCACATTTAATTGCTACTTCAAGACTGAGTTCTGACTAACACTTCCACACTGCTTTGTGAGAAAGGAGGATGGGGCAAGACGTGAAGGTGAAAAAATGACCTTAGGACAAATTACTGTCCAGGTTCTCGCAAAAATCCCGGTCAGATTCTGCTTTCACGTTGGCTCCTGCAACTTCCCGATCAGTAGCAGGGAAACAGGCTTGGGTGGTCTGCAACCAGTGGCCGTATTTGGATCCCTTGTGCACGGGAGAATGACCTGTCGGGCGATTAGTTAATTCTCTGTTGCTCTAGAAGAGTCCAGCAGTGCCTCGGATGTTTCTGCAGTCTTTTGGAAGGGCATCTTGCCCGTGTACTTAATTTAGCAGAGTAACACATTCATTTTTCTTGTTAACAGTAATGTCAGCAAAAGGGAGAAGGCGGAAACTCAGTCTGTGTTTGCCTGCTGCTATTATAAAAAAGCAGACTTAATTAGGAAAATTGACTGTATTTCAAGGAAATTGACTTTATTTTAAGGAAATACTGCCCACAATCAGTTGATAGGGTTGCATGGGGAATGTAAGCATAAGATAACAGGGTAAATCCTGTCATGGAGACACAAGTTTTAAGAGGAAAAGTGATTCCACTGCTTTTAAAATTTGCAGATCAGAGCTGTCCCTCCTATATGTGACCTCCTGAGCGTCCTGAATAAGGAGGAAGAAAAATGTGCTGAGACTCTCTCCCTGGAGGCAAAGAACAGAACGCCCGAAAATGATCTGCTCCTGAGCTCAGGTAAAGGCTGAATGAATGTGCATAATAAAAACTGCTCTGAAGTGAGCTGAGTGGCCTCAAAATCAGATACCCCTACATTCCTCCCCATAGGAGGCATGCACCTTGTATGCATCTTTCATTTGGGAGCCGAAAACCGGGTATGATCTGTTATAAGGCTCTCAGAGTGGGATTTTGACCTTACTGTGACAGCAAGAGTTGTAGGAGCTGTCTAACTCAGCTGCTCAACTGCAGTCTTCACCACTAGGGAGCACATCAGCAACAAAACGTTGCAAATTGTGGAGGATTTGAAATTATTCTCATCTTGGACAAGGATATTTTTATAAAGTCAGCCCAGTAAGTGCAAATTTACTTAACTATATTTGCCTTCAAAATCAATGAATATCAGCAACCAACATTTAAATCACGTGGCCTGAAGGTCCTCGTTGCTTCTGCCTTGCTCTAACTTGCTGTCACGTAACAGAGCTCTTGCATTTCAGAGAGGATTTATCACCATATGAAGGAATTTTTTTGGCCTGGGAAGACCTTGTGGTACTGATTCCACATCATGTAGACAGCTTTCCTTTCACAGCTGAGCAAGTGTATTCATGTGCAAGGGGTCTCAGAGAGATAATTGCAAGCAATTGGTGAAGCTTGCCTATGAACTGAGTGTTAGCTCCCCCAGGCAGCATTTGGGTCAGCGTCTCACAGAGTATGTTAGATGGAGACAACAGATGTGACTATTTTTTGTGCCTGACCAGCCATCACCGCTAAGGATGGGTTTGTGTAATTCTCAGCATCTCGCAGTCTGAACTGTTTCTAGGTGACTTTTGCGGACCATGACATGGCAAGGTCCTCACCAGTGTGGAAAGTGAAGGAGGTCCCATGAGATGTGTTGTGTGCAGGGTGTCCTGGCCAGAAGTAAGCTACCATGTGGAGCAAGAGTTGAGGCTTTTTCTTAGTTTCAAAGCCTTCCTCTCTAGCAGAGAGTGTTGGAGCCACAGAACTGTTTCACTATGACCTGGCCTAAGGGCAGGACTCAGAGGGAAGATCTGTTGCCTAGTTTCTTAGCATGCATAGCATTTTTTTCCATCTTTGTTTTATCCCTGTGAGCCTTGCAGACTGATAGGTGTGAGCAAAGCTTCGGGGCATTAGGCCCATGTAGCAGTGACAAGGTATCTTGTGGCAGGTTGCCACACACCCCAAAATACAGACCTGTCTCACTGCATATAAGAAGTTTGATGATATGAGTAAATCGGTATTGTTTGTTTCCTTCCCTGGTACTCTTCACTAAAGAAGAGGATGGTTTGACAGCCTATTTATTTTTCTGCTTTGATCCTGAGACGTGGCTCTGCACCAGAGCTCCAGAGATGCAAACGAGTTAAACTTCACAGACTGTGCAGGTGTGGACCAGCACTAGCATTAGCAGGCAGTACTGTTTTACAGATGGTCTCGTTTTATCACAGTCAAATAGTAGCTCCCCAGCAGAGACTTAATCTAGTTTTAGGTTGGAGCCAAATCTTAAAAATTCCTCTGAGCCCTTTTGTTACTGGAAATTTTTAAACAGGCTAATTCTACCCTCTGTGCCACTCTCCCCATATTTACAGAGAGAGAAGTTAAAAACACAGGATTGTGTTAAAGCTTTGAGAAAGCATTTCCAATGACTGTCAAAATTGCTCTTGTAGTTCTGCAAGTCAGATCAAACAAGGCCATATGGCCACGGGCTCAGGGCTACCCACACAGCAGAAACCCTTAAGCTCAGAGTGACCCAAGTGACTAAGCTCTCCTCTGTCTCTGTAACTGTGCAAACACACCTCCCGGCAGTGAAACTCCAGAAAAATAAATAGGGGTACGATACACATCTTTCCCCAAGTATTGATTTCTGAAGAGAGAGCCCAAGAATTTCCTTCTGCTTGTCTTTACTTGAGGAGGTTTGTTACCTCGGTAAATTATGGAGTAATGCTTTTATTCTGGGAAATATTTGCTCACCTTCTGCAAATACCTTCAGCCTTTGATTATCTGCATGTCTGAGGTCCATGTGGAGAAAATCCTATACAAGATCTTTAGTTTGAAGAAGAAACAAACAAAGCTCTGGGTATCCAGTGCATGTCCTTGGTGGATCACACAGGGAGAGAGAAAAGCAGCTTTTCAGGGTGTAGGTCACCCTGCATACCCCATCCCTCCTGCATCTTCCACAAAAACTTTGCCTGATGCAGGCAGGCAGCATCAAACAGAGTGGCGCGAAGAGGGGCAAAGCAAGGGACAAGTTTCCACAGTGCTGTCACTGCTGCAATGCTCACATCCCTCTGAAAATGGTACAAGCACACAGGATTTGTTGCGGGTGAATCAGGCACAAAGTACCTGAGCAGTGTTTCTTATCCTCCTGTTGTATAAGGAAAAAAGAACTCTATTTTTTCCTCTGCCTTTGTGATACCAGTAGCCTGGAGGAAAAAGAAGAGCTGTGCTCTGCTTCCACCCAGGAGGACCTTTAGGTGGGTAGGGGTGGGTGGCACTGGGTTTGCTCCCTGAGGGCTGGCGAGAAGCCCTCCTGCAGGAGGAACAGCTTGGCTGGTTTTTGTTTTCTCCTGCCAGGAGGAGACCATCCCAACAGTTTTTTCTGTGCTCTGAGTTTGATTTGGGAGCTTTATGCCAGTGGTGTTGGCATGAAGGTTTGATAATCCAAATACTGCAGCACGGCTAGGCATAAGCATCACCCAAGGTGATGTTTCATTTGCGATGAAACTATTGCTTTGAAGTAAGTGGATACCAAGTCATACAAACATTGGCACAGGGAGGACACCAGAGCTGAGGTGCCTTGGCTGTTGAAAGTTCTATATTTCCAGGCATGAGGACTGTCATGCAGGAGGAAATCAATATATTTCTGGAAACGTAAATATTTTTGTCAGGCTACTGGAGGCTGGCCTTATGAAGCACAAAGTGTTTGAGGAGAGCGCTCAGTACTTCCCTCGGCTTGCAGTAACCATGTGGGGCATTCAGCACACGCCAGGACCCGCCAGGCGTAGTGTGGTCCTGGCATGCTCCAGTGGCCTCTTTTTTCCCCATCATGTACAAAAGCCACAGAGGAGGTTTTGCTAAACCAAATGACAGTGAGTGGAAGCAAAAGAGAACCATCCTGAATTATTTCAGCCTGTGTCTGGAGAAAAGAAAAATAAGAAAGACCAGAATTACAGTTTCTCTGTGGCACAGGGGGCATCGACTGTAGGTCTTCTCTATTAACACCCTGCACCTCAGGCCAAAATTCATCCATGCCAACTCAAGCACCTAAGCAAGATATCTTAAGTTGAGATCACCATCACACTGTGCTCCATTGACCATCAGCTGCCTGGAGCATCTCTACCATCCTTGACAGAAGGCAACACAGACAAGCTGGAAGTGCAGCTGGAAAAGCCCATGTCCGACCCTGACTGTAGGAGGGGACCACAACAAGCCCATCCTTAATAGAAGCAGCTCCTGCACCTAACTGAGGGAAATGGGGTGAATTTGGGCAGTGTCGGTCAATTGCTGCAGATGATGGAGGCCTCGGGTGGCAGAATGTGCAGGGAGTGCAACTGAGCCATGGGCTCATGCCTGCAGAGAGCCCAGCAAGACTCTAGGTTCAATGGCTGCTCTGAGATGGGTCCTCCAACAGACATGTCACGCTGTCAGAGGCCTGGAAAGAACAACAGTATGAGCAGATTTTGCCAGAATATTGGTGTGTATCCATGTGTTGCCCTGGTCTGTAAATGCGATGACCTTCCCTTTATAGTCCCAGGGACTGACAGAGCTTGGCAAAGTTTTGCTCTCCTGCAGCAGAAAAGCCATTGAGACCCACAGCCAAGCCCAGTGATTGGTCTGTTGGTGTTACTCACTCCAGCACAGCCTTGGTGTAATAAAAGAGATGAACAAGCAGAGGGGTGTTTATGGTCATACAAGGATTGCATGGATACTGTTCCTCTCTGCCCTTTCCCCAGTTATCATTCTGAAGCTGTATAAACTCCTAATCAAGTTGTATCCTTTTCTGTTTACAAAAGGATTACATAAGGAAAACATCAGGGTGTCTCAATGTGGAAGCTTTAGGAAGACTGAAAAGTGAGCTAAAAAAGTCACATCTGGTTTCTTTCATCTTTCCAGGGCCATTCAATAGTTATAAGAAGACAGATGGGTAGCCAAGGGCCTGATGCAAAGTTCACAATGGCCCAAGTTGCTCTTTGTCTGTTTAGTAGAGACCAGTGGCATCAAGGACGAGAATGGGACAGGTCAGGAGCTTGTTGGGGCTGGTTTGAAGCAAGAAGGACCTATTCTGTCCTATCCAGGTCTTGGCAGGTCTCAGCAGGACTTGATCTGTCTCATCCAGCTTGCTTTTCAGAGTACTGCGCATCTTTGCTCCCGTAGCTGCATTGGTCCTTGAGAGACATTGCATGGTGTTTTGTTGCTTGGAGATGTTTTGTAGTGTTTCATTGTTGGGAGAAGTTTCATGGTGTTTTGTCACTGGGAGATGCTCCATGGTGTTTCATCGTTGCTTCCCCCAGGCAGATGTGCTGGAATGTGGGATAACATGAGCTGCTGGCCTTCGTCTGCCGTGGGACAGACTGTCAATGCTCCCTGCCCGGAATTCTTCCAGATGCTGACTGGGAAAAAAGGTAACACTGAAAATATGGTTTTCTTGCCCAGGTATTTTTTTATTGTTATTTTGGTTTTAAATGTGTTATTTACAAAGATGCCACTGTCAGGCCTGAACTTGAAGTCAAATTGTGTCTTCTTTTTAAGACCAATGGCCACTTGGCAGCTCCGTTTACACCACTAAGCTAAACATGGGAAAGCCTGGAATTAAAGTAGCAAGATGTTTTTTCTTACCCAGGTGGAGAAAAGTGCAGGAAGTAAATGCCATCCTGAAAAGCAGGTTTTTAGCATGGTTTCTTAAAGGAAAGAGTTTTCTCTGCTCAAGCTCTGTGTTTATGTATTTCTGTCCATCTTTCCCCTTCTAATAACTCTTAGAGCCAGTGGCTGATCTCAGCTGAGCTTGACCGAGACAAAACTTCACACAGCATTACATTCATACAAGTTTTGGCAAAACAGTCAGCCAGGTAGTAGGAAAAGATACCTTTTTTTGCCTCCATCAAGAGGAAACCTGCACTGGGGGTTCCTCCCTTGGCTGTGACAGGCTGCACACAAGTGGCACAAATTGATGGGAACTCGGGTTTCATGGCTCACCAGCCAACTTACTCAGAAAGAAACAAGCTCAAGCAACATTTGTTCTCCTTTTTTTGGGATTTCTAAGCTAGAAGTGAAGTGAAATTTATTCCCAGTATACTACGGTAATCATGAATCACTAAGTAGGAGTTTCTGCCTGCTTTTTGTTCAGTTCTACTTTTCATCAATGCCCAAGAAATGTGCTTACATTTCTCTTTAGTGAGTTAATGATTCAAATCAGAAGAGGGTTTTGCGTTCTGTGGTTACGGGACACCGATTAATGAGGTCCAGAACTTACAGAAAAGCAGACAGATTCATTTTACTGAGGGAAGA